TCTATCTATCTATCTATCTATCTATCTATCTATCTATCTATCTATCTGTGTGTATATGTATGTATGTATCTATGTATGTATTTATACTTTGACTTTAATTACCTTGCAGTGAAATTCTTTATTCATTCAGAAGCTTGTATCAAGACAATAAGAAACCACTTTACACCCTTGATTTTATTTGCAGATACTGATATGTTAATTCAACATGCCAACTGTGAGGTTGGCTTCTTATACCTTTAATGGAAAGAAATAAAAAAAAAATCATGGTTATAGACACTTCCACAGCAAACCTAATCACAAATAATATATATGAGCAAGAATGCTTGTTCAAACTAATCAAGCCATGCCTTTCGGTAACGATAGTAGCTTGTGTATTTCAAGTGAAATGTAACTTAACAGTCTCCTTCTTGGTGTTAGAGTCACATTGTATCCATAATTTCAAATACTTAATATTAATTTTAGCGCATGAAAAATACCCATAATCTATTCACTTTTTATTTAAATTATTCATTAAGTAGTAAAATATCAACCTTCAAAAATACAAACCTTTCTTTATCATGTGCATCCACATAGTGCACAGGAAACCTAAAAGATTCCCCAAAACGAGGCAATGATTTACTGATTAGAGCAGTGACATGCTAGTGCTTCCACACTGTGCTTGGTGAGAGTTAGCCATGTTTCAAGAGACGTAAATATCACCCAGCCAGCTGAGAGGACAAAGTGGCTGAATAATTATGTAAGGGAAGTCCACAGTAGACTACAAATTGCTCACAACAGACAGAAACTTCAGGCCTTCTTGTATGAATTTTTAGGATAACTATACTTTAGCAGTGAATACTAAAGATTGCCTTGGACTCTTTGCTTTATCACAAGAGCAAGATAACTACCAGAAAACATTTATCAACTTTGACTATGTACTATCAACAGAAACAATGCGCTATTGTTGATTTGTAATCAAAATAATAGGAGGCACAGCTGATGTGCAAAAAATTTATAGTCTGCACGAAAAGGGCTATGGAATGGTTCACCTTGTCTAGATTGAATTTTCTATTTCCCACTATTGTCCTCTTCAGTGGTGATATTCAGAACTACATTATACAATTAGATAAATCTGAAGAAGTCTTGAGGATTTTCACTTAATAAGGGCTATTTATTGTGTTAATAAATCACACTTTTAGTCTATCTTGTAGGTATTGTCATGAATTATATATTCTGTTTTTATTGACCCTTTCTTATTTGATTGTTATTACTGTGTCTATTCTTTACAATCTCTGTTGCTTTCTTATTTCTTACTCTCTAAAAATATACGTTTCTTCATTAAAAAAGTGAAATGTGTGTGTGTCTCTGTATGTGTGTGTCTGTGTCTTTGTCTGTGTCTATGTATATTGATGTTTCTGTACATATGATATGTATGTGTGTGGATATATAGACCTGTAATCAAGAGGAAGCTGAAAGAAAATGTTCTTTCACTGTCTGAACTATATCCTTGATACAGTGTTTCTCACTGAAACCTGGATCCAGGCAAGTATCCAGTATCAGAGGTCCTCTTGCCTCCATGCTTCTACTGTGATTAAATATGCACCCATGCATTGCTTTTGCCCCTGGGGTCTGTCAATATAGCCATATCTTCACAGCAAATGTGCTTACTCAGTAATTCCCTTCTCCAGTACAGTGTTTCCTAAGGTCTGCTGCCTATCCCTCAGTATCACTCCACATGAAAAGCAAGGATGTAACAAGACTTAGATGTTGCTTTTCATATACATAGTATTTCCTTAAATTTTCTTAAAAGTTATTTTAAATTTTATGTTATTATTATTTTTTCTTTTTTTTTTCTTTTTTATATTAATCACAGGTTATTTACTTTGTATCCCAGCTGTAGCCCCCTCCCTCATTTCCTCCCAATACCACCCTCCCTCCCTCCCTCATCTCCTCGCTGCCCCTTTTCAAGTCTACTGATAAGGGAGGATCTCCTCCCCTTCCATCTGACCCTAGTTTATCAGGTCTCTTCAGGACTGGCTGCAATGTCCTCTTCTCCGGCCTAGCAAGGCTGCTCTTCCCTTGGGTGTGTGTGTGGAAGAGCTCGCCATTGAGTTCTTGTCAGAAATACTGCCTTTTCCCCTTACTAGAGAACCCACTTGGATACTGAGCTACTATGGGCTATATCCGAGCAGGGGTTCTAAGTTATAGCCATAGACTTGCATTCATATAAGAAATTCATAGTTAAGACACACTTTAATAAAGTTATAAAAATGTATGCATGAGTGTAATTACTATCAAAATCAAAGCACTCCTATTTTTATGATCCTTTCAGCGTTCCTTTTGTCCATTTCTGTTTTTTCTTCCTTTAACCAAGCCCTTGGCAAGTGCTGATTAGATTCCTGTCCTGACAGTTTCACATCTTGAATTTATTATATTCTATCTACATTGTATAACACAATTCTTCTATACTCTATATTTTAATGTATCATGCTAATTTTCAAACTTGATTTATGTGTCAGTATTTCATTCATTCTATTCTTCTGCCGTGTTTTGTTGTATGCATGTAACTACATGGACATTCTCCATTCTTCGGATAAAATTTATTCTTTTTGTGGAACTATTATAATTTCAGCTGTTATAAACTGAACTTTGGGAGTTCTAGTCTATGACCACATGGCTCAAATAATTTTGGCTCCTGAGAAGAACTGCAGTTGTAAAAAAAAAAATGAGGAATATGTGATATGTGACACTTTCCTCAATTAAAACATTACTTCAAGAAATGAAATGGAGTTTCATGACACTCAGAAGTTAAACAAAGGTCACATGCTTTGAAAAATGGCTACATGGACAATTGTATAGGACTATTCTAGCCATATTAGTGGTCATCATCAACTGCTAGAAAAGGAGAATGACTAGTGGAACATCACATTTAAGAATTATGTAACCCAATGAACTGCCTGCAAATTGTGCTGTGTCTGTCTGAGTGAACTTTTCAATGCTCACTGCTTTTGCATCATCCCTGACCCTTGTAAGTAACTTACTCATTGTCCAGTGAAGAAACCCAATACAAAGTCATTGGCCCTGTAAAGAAAGTGAAATGAGGTTGTCTATTTACCTAATGGGATTAGTAGTTCTGGCCTTTGGAAGAACCGTTTTTGTTCATCTCTGCCTCAGAATCAGCATTTTATGATGCAAAAGAAAATCCTTTTGGAATCTATTAACATAAGATACCTCCAGCTCCCATCTCCTCATAGCTCAGAAAGCATATTGGAACCATAGGAAAGCTTCCTGTATCTTGCTGTGTCTACCTTTCTGATGTACCATCAGTGTATTTTAAATTTGCCTTGAGTTGTGACTTTCTTTGTTCTGTAAAACTATAAAATCTTCAGGAAACTGATTCCATGTTGGAACATAGAATTTTGGGTAATCTAAAGCTGTGAAAACTACATCATCACTCATAAAGGCTGAGAATAAATTGACATATTTCTGAACAAAAATCACACTGATTCACCAAGTTGGGCATTAGTGTAATTGTAATTTTCTTCAGCCATGGGTTCCTTATTGGGGGTAAATATACATATGTCTTTCATTTCCCCAGGAAAAGTCTGTGACACAATATGTCAGAGCAAACTGCCTATATCATGGAAGAGACAGCAAATATATGGGCCAGTGAGATTCCCATATCCCTGTCAAAAGCATGAAGCCAATACTTTAAATACCTCCTTTGAGGAACATTTTCTAAAAGTGCAGTATCTCCCAGTAGCACAACCATAGAAAGCAATTCCTTACATATAGGCTTTGGTGGGACATCATTTGCATTTGGCACTATAATACTTGTCTTTGCAATGACTCTATAACTTTACATCTACTTCAGGAAGACACAGGCATGGCTGGTATGGCTACCTTTAATATCCTGTGAAAACCCTTCCTCCTCTTAGTCGTTCTGCTCATTCTTTT